TTATACATCACTGCAAGGGGGAAGATAGGCTATATTAATGGGAGAATCAAAGAACCACCCTTTGGGAATGCTGAATATGATAGATGGAATCAGGAGAACAGTATGGTTATGTCTTGGCTCTTGGTCTCCATGCAACCTCAAATAAGGAAGAATTTCATGTGGGCTGAAACCGCAAATGAAATCTGGGAACAAGCAAAATCTACATATTCAGAATTGTGACACTATGCCAAGATCTATCAACTGCAGGCAGCATCATCTACTTGTAGACAGGGGGAGAGATGTTTATCAGTATATTATTCTGACTTGCATTCTGTCTGGAAGGAGTTGGACCATTACCAGAATGTGGATTGGAAGTGTGATGAGGATCCAAAATGTATAAGAAACTTGTTTCCCAACAAAGAGTGTTTGTCTTCTTACATGGTCTRAGTCCTATGTATGAATCTATCAGAGTACAGATTCTCAGCTCCAAGGATCTCCCATCAGTTCAGGAAGTCTATGCTTTTGTACAATCTGAAGAGAGTAGGAGGAATTTGATGAACAACCCTGGTGGGGATGCAGTTGTGTTGGCAGCAAAATGGGGTCTCTACTAGTGTGGGATCTTCTTCCAGGAAAGGAGATCTCTAGAAAAAAACAGAAGATAAGGACAAATTGTGGTGCACTCATTGTCAGAAACCCCGACACACCAAAGATACCTGTTGGGATCTTCATGGGAAACCAAAATGGACTCAAGATCTGACTAAGAAGCYAGGTTTAGATGTGAATAAGAGGTCCAGACAGCAAGGTACAAAGAAATACCACATGACCAACATGGTTACTCGGGAGAATCAACCCCCCATTTCTACTGTGACTCAGACACATCTCACCGAATCTGACCCGAGGGAGGATATTATGAATTCCTTCCGTGACCATTTAGAGTTCTATGGTAGAGCAATTCGCTAGATGGATGCTTCTCCATCTACCTCATTTGCATCTACGTCAGGTAACCCTACCACAGCTTTTCATGTTGCTTCTCACACCCCCGACTCTCCATGGATCATTGATTCTGGAGCGTCAAAACACATGACTGGTACGTCCTCTTACTTTCAAACCTATCACCTTCTTTCTGGAAGAGACAAGGTGAGACTAGCCGATGGATCATACACTTCCGTAGCTGGTCAAGGAACCCTCTCTCTTCCTCTTGGTCTTACCCTTTCTGATGTCCTTCATGTTCCAAAATTTCCCATTAATTTGTTCCCTGTTAGTAGTGTTACTAATTCCTTAAATTGCTCCGTGACTTTTTTTCCTTCTCATTGTGTGATTCAGGATCTAACCTCGGGGAGGACGATTGGTAGGGGACCTATGGTTGATGGACTTTACATGCTGGAGAATAAGGCTGGTCTTCATGTTACAGAGTCTATGAGTCAGTCCTGTAAGARDAARGTYTATTTATGGCATTGTCRTCTTGGTCATTTGTCTTTTGAGTCTTTGAAAGTTGTATTCCCAGAACTGTTTAAGTCAATGTCTGTTTCCGATTTTTTTTGTCAAACGTGTTAGTTAAGTAAACATTGTAGAACTCATTTTCTTCAGAAAAATAGTAAATCTGAATTTCCTTTTCACATTGTTCATTCTGATGTATGGGGCCCTGTTACTTCACCGTCTCAGAGTGGCTACAAGTATTTCATTACCTTCATTGATGATTATTCTAGATATACTTGGGTATATACGATGCGAACCAGAGAGGAAGTACCAAAAATTATTCAAGATTTCTAGCRGATGGTCTTCACTCAATTTTATACTAAAATCCAAAATTTTCAGTCAGACAATGCAAAAGAATTTTTTCATAGTGATCTCACGGAGTTCTTTGCTTCACGTGGTTTAATTCACTGTAGCTCTTGTGCCCGAACACCACAACAAAATGGTGTGGTCGAACGGAAGAACCGACATCTCCTTGAAGTGGCTCGGGGTTTACTATTTCATATGAATGTCCCCAAACGTTTTTGGCTTGAGACTGTCCTTTGTTCTACTTACCTCATAAACCGTATGCCCTCTTGTTGGTTAGAGTACAAAGCCCCACATCAGCTTCTCTTTCCTAAGGCTCCCTTTCTTTCTATTCCTCCTTGTGTATTTGGTTGTCGGTGCTTTGTCCAAAATTTATCTCCCACTCGTGGGAAATTGGATTCTCGTGCTATCCCTTGCATATTTCTTGGTTACTCCTTCACTCAAAAGGGGTAGCGTTGTTTTGATCCTGTTTCTCGGAAATTTTATGTCTCCTTGGATGTTTCTTTCTTTGAAGATGAGCATTTTTTTCCTGTTTCTTCTCAGGGGGTGTGTAGGCATGAAGAGAAATTGGTTCAGCTCCCTTCTCTTCCTGATCCTCCGACTTTTCGTGTCTTTTCTCGTCGCCGCAAAGGCCAACCAAATCCAAGAGCTGTGGAGAATCTAGAAGCTGTACCTCCCATGCCATCAAACTCCTCGGGGGAGGATCATACCCACTCAGGTAACTTGGCTCCCAATGATGTTCCTAATTCTATTGAAAATGATTCCTCTGCTGCAAATGACCTTGACCTTCCTATTGTTCATAGGAAAGGTGTTAGATTGTGCACCACTAGACATCCCATTTCCAACTTTGTTTCTTATGAGAACATTTCACCCTTATTTTGTGCTTTCCTTACCTCTATTGACAGTGTCCCTGTCCCCAAGAATGTGGCAGAAGCTCTTTCAATTCCTGAATGGACAAATGCCATGAAGGAAGAAATTAATGCTCTTCATAAAAATGGCACATGGTAGCTTGTTGATCCTCTTAAGGGAAAGGTTCCAGTTGGATGTAAGTGGGTGTTCACTGTCAAGCATAGGGTTGATGGAACGGTGGAGAGGTATAAAGCTCGCTTAGTGGCAAAGGGGTTTACTCAAGTGTATGGAGTTGATTATGCAAAAACTTTTGCCTCAGTTGCCAAGATGAACTCCATTAGAGTTCTTTTCTCTCTTGCTACTAATCTGGATTGGGATCTACATCAGCTTGACATCAAGAATGCATTCTTGAATGGTGACCTTGAAGAGGAAGTTTACATGATTCAATCCCCTGGTTTTCTGGCTCAAGGCAATGAACAGAAAGTGTGCAAGTTGAGGAAGTCTTTATACGGGCTGAAACAATCACCAAGAGCTTGGTTAAGCAAATTCCATGTTGCGGTTCAACAGATACAAGCAATGTCAATYAGATCACACACTGTTTGTGAGAGAAGGTAAAATTGCTGCCTTAATAGTATATGTGGATGACATAATTGTTACTGGTGACTGGAAGGATGAAATTCAGAGGTTGAAGTTTTTTCTTGCCACTCAGTTTGAAGTGAAGGATCTAGGACCTGCCAGATACTTCCTTGGAATTGAAGTTGCCCGATCAAARARGGGTATCTTCATTTCTCAAAGGAAATATGTCCTAGATTTACTTCAGGACACTGGAAAGATGGGGGTGAAGCTCGTTGACTCTCCCATTGACCCCAACTAAAAATTAGGTGACAGCCAAGGTGAACCTCTCAAGGATGTGAAACAGTTTCAGAGGCTTGTAGGGAGATTGTTATACTTTTCTATGACTTGTCCAGACATTGCATATGCTGTTGGTGTCCTCAGTCAGTTCATGCATGCACCTAGGTCCTCTCATCTTGAAGCARCAAAGAGAATCTTTCGATATCTAAAGAAGTTTCCAGGTGCTGGCTTGTTATTTCAAAGGCATGGGCATTTGAAAGTTGAAGGTTATACAGATGCAGA